AGGAAATGTTTCATGGAGCCAAGTATTGTGGGGAGAATTAGATCTTAGATTGGCATGGTATATACATAATATTCTTGAGTTTGAGTAGAGAAAGAGAAGTTGGCACATGAAAAAACAAAGACACAGAGTCATTACAGAAATTGCTTCAGAGAGAATAAAAGTACATGAACACTGGCCAGAGTTGAAGTGTGCAAATGCTATAGTCTGATATCCAAGTTCAGCCTCCTTCTGTGTCCAAAAAAGGGTATGTGAACTTTGGACATTTAGCTTTTCTTTAGTTTCCTCATTAGTAAATGGGGGAAACTGTGGGAACTCTGGGGCCCTGTAGGAACTACAACTGAGTACATGGAGAATGGTTGATGACAATGGAAAACTGCAGGTTGTACAGTGTTTATCCTAAGTCTGAGTAAAAACACAGTAGTATAAGTGTCTGAAAGGGGACAGTCTGACCCTATAAAAGCAGTGGCTGGGGAAGACCTCTTGGGTTTCAACATGTCGTCAATTAAACTTATTCCTCACCCACTGGTTTTATTAAAAGATTATGAAATGACACTGTGTGGGAATCTTGCTGATCCAGCACCCAGGTATCTGGTGCATGGAACCAGCACAGGGACTGAGCAAGAATAGGAGACCTAGGACAGAGAAAGGAATCGCTGCGCACCATTTTGTAGCCCTCTGCTAGGGAAGGAAAGGGGCCTGCACCAAGATGCCCAGGGACACCCGCTTACTCTGTGAACCCAGGGGTCCTGTCTGTACATTACTTTTTTTGGGGGGGGGGGCTGATGCTGGGGTTTGAACTGAAGGCCTCACACTTGTTCAAGTCTTACCAGTTGAGCCATGTTACTTTAGTTATTTTTCAGAAAGGCTGGCCTCAGACTGCAATTCTCCTACTTCTACCTGCCATATAGCTAGGATTATAGATATATAACACCACGCCAGGCTTGCTTGTTGAGATAAGGTCTCGCTTTTTGCTCTGGCTAGCCTCAAACCACAACACTCATCATCTCTGCATCCTAAAAACTCTAGAAGCACAGGCACACCCAATTCCGCCACAGAACTTTTTACATGTATAGTGAAGATTCATTACAAGTGTATTAGTTCTCATAGTGTTATTCATGAATAAACAAATAATATAAAGAAAGGCTCATACTGTACAATGCCTTTAGGCCTAGCTGGTTTGTTCTTCGTTCACAAAAAAGAGTTGCTTCCTGAGCCCTTCCTGCATTCCCATGCTCCCTGGATGGTACGAGCTGCCTGTCCTGCCACCTCACTCAAATACTTCCTGCACAGATGGGCATTCAAATCCTGCCTGGAGTAGCAGTAAACACTCCTCAGGCAATGTGCATACTCTGCTGCCACAGAGCTGCCCACTTCCCTACCACACCCGAAGCAGTTCTTAGCTGCTGTGAATTCTCATGGTCTCTTCTTCCCTTAGGTATGTCACAGGATTCCTTTGTGACTAATGGGCATCCGACAGCCATTAGAAACAAACAAAGAAAAAAAAAATCAAAACGTGCAAAAAAAAATGTAGCTCTTTATGTTTCTCTAGAGCATCAAGTCACGTTCTACAGACTTATAAAATACTATCAGAAAAGGGCACTTTACATATCATAATCATCATTTTACAAAGTTCAAGTTGGCAATTCCAAGCCACACTTAATTTTCTCTGAAAATTCCCACACGGCAAGTAGAAATTGCTCTTGGTGGCTTTCAAGTCTCTTTCAAGGAACTGTAAAATGACAGTCTCTGGAATTTGCATTTTCCCCATAAATAGACCCTAAATTACTTCTATCAAATGAAGTCATATATGCATTTTCATTAAAATAAAAACTAAACTAATAAGTAATTTTCCTGTATAGCTATTCTGGGATTTATGCAAATTAAAATTCTGTATTATAGTTTGGTATGAATCATTTGTAGTTCTTCTCTATGCTGATAGGAGGGGCCAGCAACTTCTGTTTTAATTATAATATTTTACCTTATTAAAATCTAGATGAAGCAGATACTTCAAAGCTTCAAAACTGATGAAACTGCATACTTTTCTTTTGAGGAATAAAACTGTTTGCATTTAACATGTGAAATATACTACTAAAACACCCCTGCTGATTTCACAGGCTCTTACAAGGAATTCTGCATAATTTTCTGAAATTAAAAGACTCAGGATCAGATATTTATGATGATAAAAATTGGATCTCAGGAATTATTAAAATCTCAGAAAACCCTCCTCAGATGGAAATTTTTATTCATTCAAAAATTATTTAATACAAGGTTAATTTAACAATGCAGTTGAAGCAAAAGATCTGAATTATATACTCATCTCCACTATGTATTAGCATAATGACAGGGCTTTGTGAACCTAAAAAGATAGAATCTAAAAAAGAATTGCATGAAGTAACATGAAACATGGATTTCTAAATTAATAATACCATGGTTGAAACAGTTGTGAAGCATAGTACTTTTCTAAAAGCTTTATAAATTGTAGACTTTCTATTTTTGTATAAACTTGTCTAGTTTCTTAAGCTTTCCAGTTATTGCTCTGAGAGAAAGGACAGGATAGGCCACAATAGAAGTATCAAAGGACACTAAGAAGTTGGAATGGAGTGGGGCATTGGTGGCTCACACCTGTAATCCTAGCTACTCAGGAGTCTGGGATCTGGGGATCATGGTATGAAGCCAGGCTGGGCAAGAAAGTCCATGACTCTTACCTCTAAGTCATCACAGAAACGCCAGAAATAGTTCTGTGGCTCCAGTGGTAGAGTACTAGTCTTGAGCAAAAGGAGCTCAGAGACAATACCCAGACCCAGAGTTCAATCTCCAGGACCCACACAAAAAAAGTTAGAATAGCAGCCAATACCTGCTGTATAAGCATTGTAGTAGAAACATTAGCCACCAAACACCTCAGTGAACTTTGACTAGATTCCACAGTTTTCTAACTGAGTCTCATTGTTACATTACTAAATAAGTTAATTTTTGTTTACTCTGCCTTAACTGAGGCTAGTAATACTGATCTAGTTCATAAGACTGTTAAGATGTTTTTAAAAAAAAAATACTAGGAAGTGTTGCTGTGGTTCAAAGTGGTAGAGCACTAACCTTGAGCAAAAGAGCTCAGGGACAACGCCCAGGCCCTGAGTTCAAGCCCCACGACCAGAAAAATAAATAGTTGTAGTTATATAGAGAAACATTTTCCATGAGGGAGAATGATGGAAGGGACGACATTAATCAAGATGCACTGAACTCGTAACGTGATTTGTTGAACTAAAATTTCTTTGAACAACGGAAGATAATAATAAAAACAGAGATATGCACAAAAAAAACTTCCTAAAGTCTAAAGTACTCATGTCAAAAGCAAAATCACAACAAATAAAAAAGATCCAGGCAGACTTTTGTTATCCTCAAATCGGGCACTTGGGAACAGGTTGGAAGAACTCCATCCGCATGCATGACCAGGCAGTATTAGTGGAGACAGTATTAGTGAGTGCAGCTAGGTAGGAATGTTGCCTTATTCGGGTTGGTTGGCAGCCTACTATGGAAGAAAGCTCAGGGACTATCACTATCACAGGTGTTTATTACAGAAGTATACTAAATGGGGTTTAAAACCGGCCTGCGGTTCCCTGCCTCAGGATTCAATCTGGAGGCATCCCCGCACCAAATGCAACTTAATGTGATAGGTGAAATGAGCCAAGCTCAAGATGGCACCATAAAACCTATCCTGTATTTGTTTCTTTACTGTGTTAAAACCAACATAAACAAGGTGAGTTTTCTTCTCAACGGAATGGCCTCTGAACCTCGTGCATGGGCCAGGCCAGGCCGGGCCAGCGTAGTGACCTGGCCAGCCCGGCTGCACAAGTTAGAAGATGAAACACTGAGGCCTGGAGGAGCTGGATGCCCTAAAAACGCCCAGGCATGAGAAAAAATGGTCAGCACACACTAGCTGCTGCCATCAGCTGGCCGGACACACTAGCTGCTGCCATCAGCTGGCCGGACACCAGGCCCGCGCCGACGCTCGGCACCTCTAGGGCCTGCCGGGCTCCACGGGGGCGGGGCCACGCTCGCCGCCGCTTCCCCGAGGCCACGCCCCTGCTCCCAGAATCCACTGGGGCTCGCCAGCGGAAACCACCCCCACACGCCAGCCCACAGCGCAAGGGGCGGGGCGCCGTGCGTGCCCTCTCAATGTACCCGGATTTCCGGCCTGAGCCTTGGAAATACCGACCAATGAGGCTGGCCCGGAGGCGGGCTTTCCGTTCCCCAGGCACCGCCCTCGCGGGCAGCTCCCGGAAATCGCCGAGCTTCGGGCTTGGGCCGGTGATGGGCCCGCGCGGCCCTCCCTGGCGCCATGGCTGCGTCGGCGAGCTTCCGCCTTCCGCCGTTGCCCACCATTCGGGAGATCATTAAGTTGTTCAGACTGCAAGCAGCGAAGCAGCTATCCCAAAATTTCCTCTTGGACCTGAGGCTGACAGGTGGACGTGGCGCCCGCGGGCGGGCGCTGAGAGCCGGCCCCGGCCCGCACGTGCCGGGCGTTTCCCCCGCCGGGGCCGAGACCCGCCCGCGCGGACGAGCCTCGACGCGCGGCCCCGCGGGCGGGCGGGCGGGCGGGGTCACGTGGGCCCGCGCGGCCGCGGCCTGGCGGACTCGGGCCGGCTGCGCTGCCTCTGACCGGGGGAAGCTGGCAGGTCGTCTCAGAAATGGGTCGGCCCCGGCGGTGAACACGGGTACTTGTTGCGTGTTTAAGACGTACTCGGCCGGCGGCGGGCGGCCCACGCCTGTGAGCTCGCTACTCCGGAGGCCCAGGTCTGAGGATCGCGGGCAGAAAAGTCTGTGAGACCCTTTCTCTCATTGTGATAGAATGGCAGCTTTGAGCCAAGGGACAGCACCTGGACCCTGAGTTCAAGGCCCAGTACCGGCACCAAAAAATAAACCCTCCTCCACGGTGCAGGTACTCGGGGAACAGCCACTACACAAGCTACAGCCTGCTCATGCTGGGGATAGGCGATGAGAGTGGACAGGGTAGTCCCTAGAGTCTAGGTTTTATTGAGTGAAGGTCCCATTCCTTTGAAAAGTCAGTTCTTAGAAGGCACGGTGTGTCCACAGTGAAATTCACCTGATTTTTGACAATGTGTGCTGATTTAACTACCTCCCTCCCCCATCCAGTTCTTACCTAAAAAGGGAGATTGCAAGGATAAATTATACCACACTACAAAAAAGTACAATTCACTGCTGAATTCTGAAGTTTTGAGATCTTTTTTGATATTTCACTCCACTTGGTCCCTCTTCAGGAGTTGAAGATAGCAGTAAGTCACAGCCATTGATGCACAGTCCTCAAAACATAGATGAGCTTGAGGATGAACCTCTGTCCTGCCTGTAATAACTTCCCAATTGGAAAACTAAGGATATTAACTTTACTCCTTAACGAATCTTCTCTTTGAGAGGCATTTGGTAGTTGTTACATAGCAAGGATTTGGCTTTAGAATTTACACCTGAGTTGGGAATCCTTTCTTGGCCATTTGCTTTCTCCCTGAGCTTACACAAATAAGACAAGAGAACTATCAAGTTCAACAAAACTAAATTGGTGTAGTTGTTCTTAGTCAATAAACTTCAAAGATTAGTAGTTATTGAAAAATCTCAAGGAGAGAATGTAAGCACATCGCCTACAAAAGTGGGTACTGATTCCTTCCCTAGTTGGAGATATGTAAGGGTTTGGTTTTTAATCTTTAAGCTTAAGAAGTGGTTATCAGTAACAAACAAATGTGGGACTGTACAGTGTTTGTGAACACATGCCAAGAAATGCCAGAGTGTTTTGAATTACCGAATGTCTACTGCTGTCCAGAAGTCCTTGTTGCTTTGATTTGAATGTCTCACGGTCAGTCCAGTCTAGGTTTTTCTATAAGAAGAATTAGTAGCTTGGAAAACTTAAAATCTCCACTAGAACTAAATTGGACTTTTTCCTGGAAATGACTAAGGGTTCAAATTTCTGAAGGCTGTATGATCCTTCTAAAGATTTGCACATAGGTAAAAATGAAGACTATCTGCTCACTTTTGCTTCTGGAGGAAGATTCTCAATGTGGAAAAAGTATTGCTTATTCAAATATTTAATGTCCAACAGCTAAAGTTCTGCAGACCTATCTGGCCAAGTTTTAGTAACAGAAAATACGATATTTGCCACATTGAAGTAAAGGACATTTCACAGTAACTTTATTTTCATCAAGGAACTGGGACAATTAAACGTTGATATGATAGAATATTGAATGTCTACTATATGTTGGTTTTGGTTGAGAGTTAAATAATCGAGTAAGGTTCATAGGAATTTTTTGTGTATTATTTTCACCTTTAAATTCCATGCATTGATATTTACATGTCAGAGATAACTAAAACTTTCTTTCTTCTAGATAAAATTGTAAGGAAAGCTGGTGATCTGACAGGTGCTCATGTTTATGAAGTGGGTCCTGGACCAGGGGGAATCACAAGATCCATTCTCAATGCCAATATTGCTGAACTTCTGGTGGTGGAAAAGGACACCCGGTTCATTCCTGGATTACAGGTGCGATCCTTTTTAATTTTATTTGGAGACAGGGTCTCGCTATGTAGACAGGCAAGCCTCAAACTCAACAATCTCTCTACCTTCTTTTTTTTGCATGCTGGAATTGGAATTACAGGTGTGTGTCACAATGTCCAGCTCAGTGATATGTCTGTTTTTAGGAAACAGTAGCAAGTTCAGGGCTCCAGACATGGCAGAAGGGATAGGGCTCCTGCTTATCAAGCACAGTGACCTGAGTTCAAACCCTGGACTGTCAGAAAACAATTTTTTTATCTATTTTTTTAACTGTTTTTATTGTAAAGATACTGTACAGGAGTTACAGTTACATGAGTAAGGTAATGAGTACACTTCCTATCGAGCATTGTTACCCCCTCCTTTGTTTTTCCCCTACTATCCCTTCCCTCACCTTCCCCAACTTCTCCCTCTCCCCCTTCCCAAGTTATAAAGTTCGTTTTCAGCATAGTGTCTTGTACATCTCATTGTTACAATGGGTCAGCCTGTATCCTTATTTCAGCATTTTGTTATTTCCCTTTCCCTTCCCAAATTAGAAAAATGTATATACAAGATACAGGGCACTGGAATCAAATACAGTGACAACAGGGGTTATACTATGGGGGAAGAATATGCAAAAGTAACAAAAAAAATCACATAGTACATTAAAAACAACAGCAACAAAGAAAAAAACCTGTGTGTCCCTATCTTGGGGCTCATTTTGCTTAGCATAATCTTATATGGTCATATGTACATAGCTTTTGACCTTTTCTGTTGTCTGGTAAGATTATCCTAGACATATACTAGTTATTGCAGATAAGGGAAACTGTGGGACCTGTGTTTCTTTGGGCCTGGCTTAATATAATTTTTTCCAAGTCTTTCCATTTCCTAACAAATGGGGCAGTATCATTCTTTCTGATGGAGGCATAGAATTCCATTGTGTATGTATACACACACACACACACACACACACACACACACACCATACCATATAGAAAACAATTTTTAAAAGCGTATCTTGAACCATGATTCTTAAACCTGATGCTAAACTGCTTTGTGTGGTTCTTTGCTTTTTATCTTTTTGTCCATTAATATTGCTTACCATAGCCCATTCCTTCAAAATAAACTATGCCCCATAATAACTCACTGACATCACTTTTGATAACCGTCAATTAGGTTCAGAACAACATTTCCACAAGCAAAAGATTAAAAACCAAAAAAAAAAAAAAAATGCTAGATCTTTATCAAAAGAAACTAATTGTTAAGTTTAAGTATTTTTGCAGGAGAATTTTCAAGTGAAGAAAAGAAATTATACTTAGAATGAGGTTTACATGCATCTTTTAAAACACAGGACAATATTTGAAGGAACTGAATTTGTTTCAGTTGAAGGAAGACAAGCTTTGAATGAGGATATTTATGAATGTATTTCTTTATGGTAGTGCTGGGATTTGAACTCAGCCTAGCACTTGCTAGACAGGGGCTCTGCAACTTGAGCCATACCTCTAGCCCTTGTTTATATTGGTTATTTTCAAGATAGCATCTCTTCATGTTGTTGGAATGGTAGGCCTGCACATCAGGTCCAGCTCTTTGAAGCTTAAAATGGCAGATGTGTAGCTACATGCCACTGGTCAAGACATAATCTTGAGAACTTTTTTTTTTGAGACCAGGACTGGTCTCAAACCAGGATCCCCACCTCCCCAGTAGTTGAGACTACAGACCAGAGCCAGGGTGTCCAGCCAACGGGAGGTCTTCATAGCTGCATCTTAAAGGTTGCCAGTGGAAAGTTTAAGCTTGATTTGATCTTTTCTAGGCAAGATTTACAACAAATAGGTGAGAGTTCAGGCAAAAGCCAGGGTTGAGGAGGGAGTTAAATTCTTAAAACATTGGCAACCAGTGGAACCAATTTTATCAGAGAACTTGTAAAGGGAATTCCTCATAGGGAGCATTTAATGACTTCAGGGCCGTTGTTTGATTCCTATGTAATTCTAAAACTTTAATAGAGCCCTGAGCATTTGGCTCAGATGACTAGCAATTTATTATATGATTATAAAGGAACAATAAAATAATCCACATTCTTATTTCTGTACAAGAGAGCAAATTGGTTTAAAATTAGGACATTCAAATACTTATTTATGTATGTGTTAATGGAAAAATGTCTAATTTCTGTCAGAACAGTTTGAGAAAATTTGTTTTAAAACCTAGGACTTAGCGCATGCATCTGAATTTATAAGAAACCCAGCAATGTTTCTTATTATCCAGTGTTTATGCAAGAATTATATAATGGTCAATTTTATCTAATTTTGTCAATCAGAACTCATTTCAGATTTCTGCCTTTATTTTGGGATTGTGGCATGGCGCCTAGTCCTTGGTGAAATGTGAAATTTAATAGCAATTTGGATCGTTGCTTTGAACCATGTTCTCCAATTGGGACTGTATCCCAGTTTGAGGTAGAAGTGAGAATATTGTTATTTTTGTTGGGATTTGCCACATGATAAAAGGAAGCTGAATAACACTTCATAATTCCTTCTGGCTTATTCTTGGTGCTTTCTCTATGTAGAGAGCTTCACATCTCACCATCTGTTACATGTGTTCTTCCTCACTAGGCACAAGGGAGAATCAAATATCTGTTGATTCTGGTTTTATTTTATGTGGTCCCCAGACCAATTCTTTTTTGGTAGTATGAGGGTTTGCATTAAGGATCTCAAGCTTGCTTACTCAGCTGGTATCCACTTGAGTCATGCCTCTAACTCTGCTTTGTGTTGGTTAGTTTGGAAGTAGACTCCGGGAGACTTTTCTGCTTGGGCCGGCTAAGAATTCAAATTCTTCAGATCTCAACTTCTTGAATAACTAGGATTATAGATATGAGCAACTCATACCTGACTGAAGACATTTTAAAAGAGCAAATAGCTAAGTATGGTGGGGTACATCTTATTCTAGCTACTTACAAGGCAAGGTCAGATTTTCCAGGCCAGCCCAGGCAAAAAAATTAATGTGATTCCCATTTCAACAAACAAGCTGGACATGATGGTGAACCTCTGATCCCAACTTTTAGGAAGGCATAGGTAGGAGAATCACACAGTCCAAGGCTGGTCCCAGGTAAAAAAAGTGTGAGATAGTAGCCAAAAGTTAGAAAAAGGAAAAGGCACTGGAGGTGTGGCTCAGGTAGTCCAGTGCCTGTCATGTAATCAAGACCCTAAGTTCAGAGTCAGTACTAGAAAAGATAAAAGAGCAGCTGCCCTCCTTCTCTACCACCCTTGTTTTACAGGCCCATGCTCCCTGCTCTGTACCTTGTATCTCATTAGGTCTGTCATCATCGGACATGCTGAGTATATTTCTTCTCATTTGTTTATTGTCAGAGTGGTGACTCTGGAAGGTGAGTGTCTTGAGGGTAGTTTTGAGCCTTGTTTTGTTGCCTGCTCTATCTCCAGGACATGTGACAGTACCTTCCTTAAAGCACAAGCTCAGTAATGTCTCACATGGAAAATAAGAGATTCACTGTCACTACCTTCATGTATCATGTTAACTGTTAAATGTGTCATTCAGTAGTAAAAAGTAAACATGTAGCAAGAACTATTTAAAGGTTTCTGTTCTTTCTAAAAGCAAAAGTAATTTTCAAGGTAAACTACAGGAAATGTATATTTGACTTCTCATCAATTTCAGAAGAAGCAGAATTAATTCTTAGTGCCTTCTACATAGGAACAAGACTTGCTTAAAAGAAATGTTGGGTACTAACACGTAAGCTTCTTTTTCTTCTAAAGAATGTTTCAGTATGTAAAACTACTTTCTATTAGAGGTCCTAAATTAATCATAAGACTGAGTAAAGGCAGAAGGAAAGTGATCTATTTTAAGGATTCCATTCCAGTGATTTCTAAGCTAATAGAATTACTTTTTAAAGAAAGTGTAATAATTTATGAAATGTCTTGTAGATGAAAGTACGTCATTTGTAGCTTAATTCAGTTCTTACAGCATAATCATGAGGCAGCCAGGGAAGGAACACCTGGCGGTAACATGTAGGTTTCTCTCAGTGTGTTGTGAAGATAAGAAAGCATGGCTGATCAGTGAAATCACTGAAGAACAACTTCATAGTAGAGTGTGGCTTTCAGTGTCTAGTTACCTGGACTGACTCAGCTTCTGCTGTTAGTTTGTAACCTTCAGCAGTAACTTCTATCCTTGTGACTACATTTTACTCAGGGTAAAGTGATTGCCTGCCACTTAGGAAATACTCTGCAATCCCTGTTGTAAACAGTCTCATTGTTGTACCCACGTCTTGAGCATCTGTGGCTTTATGAGGAGACAAGTTCTGTAGAACAAGGCATAGGAGGAGGAGGTAAGATTGTCCCATACAAACATGGCAGATACCCAGTAAGATGAAAACATTGTAACCTTCCTTTGCATTGCTTGATTAGTACTTTTTGATTGTTTATTTTCGTTTTTTTTTTTTTGTAACTGAGCAGATTCTCTCTGCCTTGCAGGGAACACAGTGATGAGTGCATCCTTGGCTTGTCTCTGATCTTAGGGCAGATACCTTTGGTTTATACTATGAGTTTGATGAGATGATTTTTTTAATCATCTTAAGGGAGATTTTTTTTAAATCCTGAGAGAAGTCTCTGCAATACCTAGTTTACAAAGAAGATTTTGGGTTTTAGATAATGAGTGAATGTTGAATTTTCAAAATAAAGAAAGAAAAGAGTGTTTCTAAGTTTACTAAAATGATAGTTTTTGCTTTATTCTTTTTTAGTGAATTATATTGACTTGGGGGAGGGAGCAGGGTTGGTAGACCAACCGTCTAACATAGTCTGTCTTCTTGATGTTAACCATTCATATGGGTCTTTTTTATTTCCTAACTGGTCTGGCTACAGAGTAAACTTTATTGGTATTTTTCCACGAGGCAACTTTGAATTTTTTTTATTCCTTTTTCTGTGTCTTATTTTTAATTTTGTTGATTTCTGCTCTGTAATATGTCCTCCTATGGCTTACTTTAGGTTCGATTACTTCTTTCTACAGCTTTTTTT